CTTGAAGAAAGAACTACATATAAGTCAATTGGTAGATGCCTGGAGAATTACACACATGCAAGATAGAGATTATACCTTTTTTTCAAACATGCATAAGAGGTATTCAAGATTAGACCACATATTAATAGAACATCAATTAATTGACCACCTAGTTCAAGTTAAAATAGAGACAATCTCTCTATCGGATCACGCCCCAGTTATAATGAAATTGGAATGGGGGAAGGGGAAAACAGGAGGGCTGGGCTGGAAACTGAATGAGACACTATTAGTAGAAAAGGAAATAGCCCAGAAAATAGGGGAAGAGATTGAACGGTATTTCAAGGAAAACGAGACAGGTGATGTGTCCATAGCTACAGTGTGGGAATCTCATAAGGCATACATAAGAGGAATATTGATAGCGATTGGGGCAAGAAAGAAAAAAGAAAGAAGAGAGAAAATGAGTAGGCTCTTAGAAGAAATAAGTATACTAGAACAACAACACAAGAATAGAATAATAAAAGAAATAGAGTTGAAGTTAAAAAAAAAGAAAGAAGAATTGGAAGGTGTAATAGAAGAGGAGAGGAGAAAAGCATATAACAGGGTTTTGAGCGAGAGATATAGATGGGGAAAGATCGGGAAAATATTTGATGAGGGCCCTGAGGAAAAAGAAAAATAGAAATTATATAGAAAAAATAAAAGATGTTAAGGGGAATCTGAAACACTCAAATAGAGAAATCACCAAAGTTTTTATGGAATATTATAGAGATCTGTATAATATAAATCCCCTGCGGGAATCAGAAAATATAGAAAGTGAGAGGAATCAAAAGAGAAAGAAATATCTAGAGAAGGCTGGGTTACAAAAATTAAGCGAAGTCCAATTGAACTCCCTTGATGCAGATATCTCACAAGATGAAATAAAACTAGCTTTGAAGGGCACAGCGTCTGGGAAAAGCCCAGGACCAGATGGTTATACTGTGAGATATTATAAAAAATATAGTGAAATCTTAGTACCAAAACTTAGAAAATATATGAATGCATTAGGTGGAGTGATGGAAGTAAGAAAAGAATCGCTACAAGCTCAAATGGTGCTTATTCAAAAAGAGGGAAAAGATGCTACACAGTGTTCGAACTATAGACCTATTTCATTATTAAACACTGACACTAAGCTATATGCAAAGGTCTTGGCAAATAGATTGAAAGAGCTAATGCCGGAATGGATACATCAGGACCAGGTGGGTTTTGTTCCCGGGAGGGAAGGTAGAGATAATGGGTTACGATCATTGATGCTGATCCAAAAAAGTAAAAAGGGAAAAGAACCGGTGGTACTACTCTCTATAGACGCTGAAAAAGCGTTTGATAGAGTGAACTGGAGTTTCATGATGGATACGTTGGAAGTCATGGGAATTGGGCCCAGGATGAGAGAGTGGATAGGAAAGTTGTATAGATACCCCTCTGCAGTAGTTGTGGTGAACGGGGAGAGGTCAGAACCCATTGAGATGTCAAACGGTACAAGACAAGGATGTCCACTATCCCCATTGTTGTATGTTATATCATTAGAATCACTGCTATCAACAATAAGGTTAAACGGAGATATAAAGGGAATCCAGATAGGGGACACGGAACATAAAGTCGCCGCTTTTGCTGACGACTTGTTGTTCTACGTGGGAAACCCCAGGATAACACTCCCAAACCTAATGAAGATATTAAAGGAATATGGAGAATTGTCAAATTTAAAGATTAATCCAACAAAAACGGAGATTCTAAATATAAATATTTCAAAAAATGAAAAAGAAAAAATACAAAAGGAATTTCCCTTTAAATGGAAAGATAGAGATATAAAATACTTAGGAGTAAATCTCACAGCTTCATATAAACACCTTTATAAATTAAACTATATTTCACTGATTAATGAAATCAGAGAGGAGCTAAAAATATTGCAGGAGGGAACTCCGACATGGATAGGCCGTATTAACCTGGTAAAAATGATAATAGTACCAAAAATCATATATAGATATCAAATGATACCAATTAAACTCCCAGAGATCTTTTTTAAGTTAATTAAGAAACTGATAACAAAATACATATGGAGGAATAAAAAACCAAGATTGTCATATGAGTTGTTGAGTAGGAGGAAAGAAAGAGGTGGTTTAGGGCTTCCAGATTTTAAAAGATACTACAAAGCTGTAGTATTGGCAAGAACTATAGACTGGATACAGAACCAAAAAAAGTTGGGTGAGAATAGAGAATGAACTTAGTGGAACAGATTTGGGTAAGGTGATATGGGTTCCAACACAGTATAGGGGCCTAAATGATAATGTAAATACATACACTTTGAATGTTTTAAAAATTTGGGATAATTTACACAAAAGTATGAAATGGTCTTTTAATTCAACACTGATTTCACTAAAAAACACTGAGTTTTTTTCCCCCCTGGTAGAGAAGAAATAGGAGGAAGGTGGTTTAAAAAGGAAGAGGTTCAATTAAGAGATATTTTGGTGGGGGATAAAATAGGATCATTTGGGGAATTGAAAAAAAAAAGAGGGTGAGATTTTCACTAAATTAGACAAGTGGCGGTATTTTCAATTGAGGAGTTTTGTTGGAAGTTTACCAAAACCTTTAAGGACAAGAGACAACTGGAACTTGTTTGAAAAGGTTTTGGGTACACAAGGTGATGGGAAACACGGGATTGCTAAGGTATATAAAATACTCACCGAACTAGATATAAACACAAAGCCAACATATATAACAAAATGGGAAATTGATATGGGAAGCGTGATAGATGAGGAGAAGCAGAGGAGAATATATAGATTAACCCACGAAAACATTTCTATGAGAGAGGTAGAGATGAACTATAAGTGTTTGACAAGATGGCACATTACACCAAATGTTGAAAATAAGATGTGTAAAGAGAGTTCACCGTGGTGTTGGAGGGGATGTGGTGAAATAGGTACAACATATCACATATGGTGGGGTTGCCCAAAAATTCAGGTATTCTGGAAGACAATAATCCATTTGATAAGAAAAATAACAGAAATAGACATTGGAGTAGACCCAGAAGTGTGTATTTTGCATAACATGGACATATCAGCCAATAAAATATAAAAAAATCAGGGATATGGTGCTACATTAATGCTGCAAAAGCTCTGATACCCAGGTTTTGGAAGCAAACAGAGGTACCGAAGGAAGAAGACTGGATAGAAGGGGTTGAGCAGATTAAAAAGATGGAAAGGTTGTGCCATGTCCAGGAAGATAGGATGGAGATTTATAATAGGAAATGGGAGAATTGGGAAAAAGCTAAGTTATATATGAAATATAGGAAAGATTAAAGAAAGTAATAGGAAAACTGCACTTGCTGAGATAAAATGATGTAGAGAAAAGGAAAAGCAGGAAGATGGGATTTGGGTGAGGGTGGAGGAGGGGGGAGGGGGGGATTTTGGAATAAAGTAAATAAAGTAGAAATGATGGATACTATAGTGTATAAATATATATATATGTTTGTATATCATGATGTTGAAAAGTATTTAAAATGAAAATCAATAAATATTTAAATTATAAAAAAAAAAAAAATAAAAAAAATAAAATGAATTGGTCCTGCAGCGGATGCTAATGAATACATATTTTCTTTGAATCTGGCCCCAAAAACATAATTTTTTTTTTTCATAGCATTACCACCTTCTGCCACTGCTTTTATGCTGGCACCATTACCAGCTTCTTCTAATGCTGCTGTCCTGACACCTATCCATCTCCCGCCATTGCCATCTTATGCTGTTTCTACTGCCCTATTATGGGGCTCTGGCACTGCAAAGGTACCACTAGACCTCAGCTGCCAGTTGTGTGCACTCCCCCCCCCCCCCCCCCCCCCCTGACACCTATCCATCTCCCGCCATTGCCATCTTATGCTGTTTTCTACTGCCCTATTATGGGGCTCTGGCACTGCAAAGGTACCACTAGACCTCAGCTGCCAGTTGTGCACCCCCCCCCCCCCCCCCCCCCCCCCCCCACCCCCCCCCCCCCCCCCCCCCCCCCCCCCCCCCCCCCCCCCCCCCCCCCCCCTTGCAGTGTCCATCTATAATGTGCCTCAGTGTCTAGTATATCCAGGCACGGTTAAGGCGAGACACACAATGTTTCCTCCGCTGCAAAGCTTCGTGTTTACTGCAGGGTAAATTATGCTTTGTGTCTCCTAGCATTCAGCCTATTCCACTGCTCCAGTAATCAAGAATATTTGTCATGTTTTGTCTCTCTGAAGTAGTAGTGTACTCCAATGGCCAAGTAAAACTTTTTAAAATACTGTGTATGGGGTCAGTACAATATTTAGTTGTGAAATAAATATACTCCTAAAGCTGATTTTTATTTATTTATTTATTTTTCCCCATTAAAAGTGGACTGCTGTCCCTCCTGTTTAAAAGACAGCCTACCTAAAATGTTTAAATATGGTCTATGGACTAAAATATTATTTCCTTATATATTAAATTAATTTGGATATTTGGGCTGTGAAACTGCATGTGGTATGAAAATGCAAAATATTCAAAATGCAGCCTGCAAGAATTAGCTGAAATGTCTGTGAATGAAATTGTCTATGTAGTCTGTACATTATTACTTTGTTTCAACAGTGACAAATTTTGGTATTTATTTTTTTTTCTCCTGTTTGAGCTCTCTGATAGTTTGTTGATTTTTTTTTTTTTTTGCTGTTCAGTGTGAAACCGCCTGCCCATACAATATATGGGCAGACGGCTTACACTGACCGTCTGCAGGAGTCCTGTATTGCACCAGCGATCTGCTGATTGCTGGTGCAATGCTTTCCAGGCTCCTTTTAAAATAAATAAATGCACATTTTTCATTTTTTATAAAGGTGAATTTTTCCTTTTTAATGATGTGGACCCTGGGCTTAATTTGGCTGCTCAGCAAGATCAAATGATAACTTTCCCCACTTTGTCAATCTGAATTTTTAGATTGTGGGGTTATTGAGGAATAGCGACTGATGCAAATCAAGAAATCAATACCAGAAATCATAAACATCTTTCATGTCGATTGCAGAGTACTGTCTAGCTCCTATGAAAGTGGGTCGATGTCGTGGGTCCTTCCGGAGATGGTACTACAACCCAGATATTAATGAATGTGATGAGTTTGTGTTCGGAGGATGCAAACCAAACAAGAACAACTATGTCCAAAAAGAGGACTGTAGGCAGACCTGTGTCAATTTGTCTGGTGAGTGAATGTGTACTTGGTTTCTCAAGCTGGATTTCCACAACTGTGTCAGTGATAGTCATTTTTGGAAAGTATTCAGATACATTGGTACATGGAAATTGTTTCAGCATAGGATTCTCACATTTTTACAGATAACTGAATCGACTGGAAAGGAAAGCTAAGGTTATAGATGTCTAAGTGGGAGGGTCCCTAAGTACCCAGGGGTTTGCAGCCCCTAAAAGAAATTTGGCAATGGCAGCCTCCATTTGCCATTGCAAACTCTTCTGAAAATACTGAAAATTGTTTTGTGGCTGTTATGCTGTTCTGATGGATTTAGTACTTTTTTGTATAGTCTTCCAACCTGAAAGAAGTATGCAGATTAGAAGCTCTGACCATCACACAAATGGCTCTTAACTATAGTGATATGCCTATTTACACTATATGGTTTGTAGGGGAGTCCAGTATAGAACTCCACTTTCCATGGAGCTTGTGTCCAAACTGGATAAATCCTATAAGGAAATTGGACCAGTGTTTGGTTCACATTAGTGGACAACCAGGGATTCACTTTCGAGAACCTCTGGTCCAGCTGAAAGATTTTGCAAGCAATATGGTCTGTTGCTATATTCAGCATTAAACCAGCCCACCAGACATTATTAAACTGACTATTGCTGTATGAGTTTTTGCAAAGGTGTTAGAGTAGGCAGTCAGCTTGTTCTTATACATATTAAAGTGGTAATAAACCCAAAAGCAAACATTTTATATAGCCGTTTACCATTTCTTATATGTGGTGGCTGCATTCATTTTTTTTTTTTTAGGCTTTTTTTTTATTTTCAACTGGTGTTATACCCAGTAAGTCTGATTTTCAAAAGAACTAACTGTCCTACAAATGTAAAAGTAACAGGGATGAGACAGGGATGAGACAAACCATTAAAAACTAGCAGGGGTGCTTACAGTAATCGGCTTCTATTTATGTAAAACCTGTATGCAAAAAGGAAAAACGGTCTGCTGTAACTGCTTATAAAGTATTAGCTGGAGTTTGTCTTCAGTTTGTTAGTCTATCTAAATCTGCTAGTACATCTAACACTCCCCTCTGCCCAGACTGACTATGCTGCTGTCTAAAGGTGCCCCCTGTGCTCCTTCATCCAGAGTGGGGGCAGTCTAATACAGGAGGTGTTACTGACTAGATCACCAGGTTAAAACAGAGGAAAAAAGACCAAAACGAAAACTAATGTAGCCACAATATCTAATGACTGGTAATATATTACGTCTTTTTAACATGGTGCCGGAAAGGCCCCCTGAGCATGATTGATCACGGTTAACCCACTCTGCAACAAAGTTTGTTGAAATCCCTGCAATGTACATAGATCACTTGGAGGGGAATGTGGTTTGTGTGGTTTTTTTTTTTCTTCTTTTTTTTTTTTTTTTTTTTTTCTCCACAAAAGTGGAGTTAATCTTTAAATATGAAATGTCTTCCAATTAATTCATGGAGGATTTTTTTTCAAGTAAAGCTGCTTTCATCTGTCTTTTTTTTTTTATCTCTTTTCAGATCGTTCTGGCAAAGGAAGGAGGATGCAGCCAGGTACAATTTATTTATTTTTATTTTTTTTCTCTATTTTTTTTTTTTATTTCTCGCACAATAGATTTAAGATATGCTGATTTATTTGATTATTGTGCATACTGACAATAACTTGGTGAAGCCTCCTTTTTTTTTTTTTTTTTTTAAACAGAGACTTGCAGATGCAGATTGTGCATTGCAAGATGCTCTGCTACTGCAACCAAGTCTGTCTACTGTAGAGGTTATATTACAGGATTACTGCCATTGGACAGGAAAGCATGTTGTAAAAGATGAATCAATTGGTATGCAATTGCACCACTTATTAATTCTAGTTCTCTGTAGAGTGTTTACATTTTACTGACCATCCATTTGACCAATTCCATATTTCCTTTATCCTGGAACTTTGATTATTTACACTTCCACCCTCCTGTGATTGAAGCTGCACCCCACCAGTAAATGACTATTTCATCTATAGCCATTTCTCTTTTCTCAAGAAAAAGCTAGCTGCTAGTTCTTGTAGCTCCTTACCTCCCACCTTATGTAATTCGGTGATAAAAGTAGCTGACCTGTTAATAGCTTTAAGAGTAAGGGACCTTTCACACAGGTGGACCACCCATCGTTCTCTTTGGAGAGGCAGATGTAAATGCACATGTGTTCATATACACCCATCTGCGTCCGATCCTCTAAAAACAGACGAATGGGGGGTCCATTTCCTATCTATCGGGCAGGCAGTCAGTTTACATCTGATCACCCAGTAGAGAACAGTGGGCTGTGTCAGTGTCCACTCTGAACAAGGAGAGCAGACACGGACCTTTCATCCATATTTGCCCATCCACATAAGTGCCAGGATACACTGATCAGCTGATTGGCTGCAAGATTGACAGATGTTTTCCAACAATCCCGTTTTGTCAGGAGTAAATTGTTAAATCAACTTCTCTCGATTGGGAATGGCCATAGATGGATCGAAGTTAGTTAGGACGGGACTACTGAACCGGTTGAATTTGGATCCATCTATGGGCAGCTTAAGTCTGTCTGCATATAATTCATGCAATCATTGCACCTTCTATGAAGTTCACCCATTTTTTTTTTTTCAGAACACCTTTATATTTAACAGGCGTTTCTGTATTCATAGTGTGTGACGGGCATTGCCAACCAACCCAGTTCCGCTGTGCTGATGGCTGCTGTATTAATAGAGGTCTTGAGTGTGATGATACTCCAGACTGTGCCGATCATTCTGATGAGACATCCTGTGATAAAGGTAAGTAGGACTCATGTGAAATTTGAAATCTATCAGCATTGCTCTGATTTGGACACTCCTTTTACTTGGTTAGAGAAGGAACATTCAGTAAAGTAAGTTGTCATTCTGATCTTTGCTGCATATTGCTCTTTTAATTTGTAGCTTAATGTGTAGTAGTTTTGTCATTACTTCTTCTCCTACTGATGTCCAGCCATTCAGAAACATGGCAGCCCTGTGGACACTACATTATATTGCTTACTGATGTCTAACCATTTTGATGCAATGACCAAGTTTGACCAATGATGCAAGTTTAGGAATCGGCAATAACTGACTTCTGTGTCTGATCTGATTAGTGTTTAGTTGATGAAATCCGGCATTGCATTCTTGCATTGCTCTAGTGAGTACACAATGTACAAATTTAAGGCACATGTTTATTGCTGTGAGGTCAGTCGAAGATAATTGGGGGTTAGGAACCACCGTAAAGTAACCTTCATGCAAAGCATAAACTCTGTACTACTACTTATAATACAGGTAGCATTTTATATTACAATCTTAAACCAAGCACTTAAGCTGGCTATAAATTGTTTGAATTTTGGTCTAGTCAGTCCCCTTCCACCTGACATTCTTCCATTGAAAAAAAATCAAAGAAGCTGGGTGGAAAATGGCCGGTGGAACAGTGGCCACTTTCATTTGGGAGTGGCCACTGTTTGGTCATTTTGACAACTGCCGCTGCCCCAGCAGGAGGATTTGCCTGTCTGTGCTGTATAGTGTGGGTAAAGGAATCTTTTTCTGTTTAGGAAATATCAGGCTGAACTCATTTTTTTGGTTTTGGATCAGTGACTCAAGCATTACAGTATTAGAACACCCAGACAACTAGCAGTCCATATTTGTTTCTAATTCTAGGCTTCCATGTCTTTTATCATACCAGGGTGTTCAAGCCATTGAATACAGGCTCTGTTAAGGCTGAATTCCAGGAAGATATAAAATAGTGCTGTATTCATGAATACTTCCTAGATTTATTTTTTAAATGCAAGCGGCTTATGTTCTTGAATTTGACTTGGGTATCAGCCACCTGTAGTCTCTGTACAGCAAAACTCAGATGGTCGGTGTAGAAGCAACACAAGCATCCAATCTGTTGTGCTGCAGTGCGAAGAACCTACTGATAGGAAGGGAAAACAGAGTGACAGAAGAAATGATCTTATCAGTGTATTGTTTCTACTTTCACCATCCTGTCACGGGATGGAGGTATGGAGGAGACCTGTATGTGTCACCAAACTTCAGCAGAGATCGGGTCTCTCTGGCCTGCCAGATATGGCAGTACTATGTGAAAGAGCTGTGTACATTTCAAGTCTGGATAGACAGCAGTACATATCCTAGGCTGCTAAAGCAGCCTCTCTTTATATGTATTTCATCGGTGTGTCTGGAGTTCAACTTTAATGTGTAGTTTACAGTATTCTTACTCAAGTGATCAGCCTTGTTTCCTTCATATAGTTCTGGTCAGCACACAGTTCATTCTCTGTATGATTCTCAGGCAAGACTTCAGATACATGTTCTCCTGATGGATCTCCAGCTAATTCATCAGAGAAAACGTGTTCACTATGGGCTCTACCTACAATACATGTGTCAAACACAAGGCCTGTGGGCCGAATTGGAACAAGTGCCATAACTTTTACATTGGTGAATGCCTTTATTCCTGTTTTAACAATGACAATTTACACAAAGAAAACTGAGGTGGATGCAGGCCCATTGTGCAGAGCTGTGTCTGTTGCTGTCCTGGTTGGGAAAGAGAAGAAATGACTATTTAGTAATCAAATATATATTTTTTTAAAGTGTGTTTTTGTTTTTTCAATTTTTAGATGTTAGAGATTTTAGGAAACTGCAGGAATTGGAAGTTCCCAATAGTAGAGGTATGTGTTTAATGGAATGGTGCTTGAAGGTTTAACTACACATTAAAATTTCCTCCTCCCTCCTCCTCCCTCCTCCTCTCCCAGAAGGTTAAGCTTGTTGGAGTTCATAAAAATTTGCAAAGGTGAAGCTATCCATAAACACTGAATGCAGTTGAACAGACAAGCACTGTCCAACCACCAAACAATATTTCTTTCTCCATATCAGAACATAGACTTACAGTACATCTAGCAAATACATATCTATGTCCTCAGTGCACAGATCTATCTGCTGGTGGTGTTTTCTGAAATCTGTTGTCAATAGCATACGTTTTGCTCAATTCCTTGCGCGAACGCCGTTTTCTTGCCATAACTTTCTATTTTCAGCCATTTGACTATTTTTTAATGTCTCATTTCTGTGAGTAATGGGCAATACAGCACATAACCATCATTTTAGCTTACTGAATTGAGGCTATTGCCTTCATGGCAGCAGTTCTGGTTATTTTAAAGCAAACTTTCAGAGTGCCTACATCTGCTAATCTAGTTGTACCCATGTCTCTAGCCAGTATACACTTGAACATGGTAACTTGTTGGGTAAACTGTTTTTGATCTTGAAAGTTCTACTAGATGCCTCAGAGGCCCAACTTTCAGGAATGTGGTGTGGCTCCGTGTCTGAACAACCTATCACCAGATCTGAGCCTGTTGCTTCATTAAGCTAGTTATTTTCATTGCCCCTGGCTCAGGTTGCCCAGTGATAGGTTTACACAAACACTTTTTGGAAAGTCACTATTTGCGTTGGAACTTCATTGTTTACAGTGGTACCTGAAGAGAGCAGGACAGTTTTAAAGTAGAATTCTACCAAAATGTTTTATTTTGGATGCAGTGGGGAAGGCCAAATCGCTAGTGAAGAAAATGATGTAGTCTCTTCTGGTAAACTGCTAAGGGGGTTGAATTTTTTTTCTTTCCCCCCCCCCCCCCCCCCCCCCCCCCATGTTTTGCTCTAGTTAGAACTCCTGTCAGGCCAGGGTTTTTTCTTTGTGACCCTATGGGGAGATTTTGTTTTACTTTCTGAGGCACCTGGGAAAGGAAGGGAGCTTAAAACTGCCCTTGGGGACAGAAGCTGCAATAACACTCCAATTGAAGTTATTCCCTCTGACTAGACTTGCACCCTTTTACCTAAAGGGTTGATCTAGTATCCTAGGAAGACTTTAAATTATCTGTACATATTGTACAAATTTCGATTCATTCAGTGGCAATTTGTTTGGCTTTTGATGTGCAGAATGTAATTTTTCTGTAAAAAATGTGATGACACTTCTTTATTTATTGCCATCCTCCTGCAGCCCGTTGTGTGGAGATGCCAGAAACTGGTTCGTGTCGAGCCTCATTCTCTCGCTGGTACTATGATCCTCTCTCCAAAAAGTGTATGGGCTTTACTTATGGAGGATGTAATGGAAATGGAAATAACTTTATGTATGAAGAAGAATGTGAAGAGTTTTGCAGAGGTGTCTCTGGTGAGTTTATATGAGAAAAACAATGATACTAGTGACCAATGATTTTTTATCACTGATGGGTTCACAGAAAAAAGGGATCCATGGCTTTTGCTTATATAATAATTTCCATATCCCAAGTTGTTTTTCTGGTTGCTGGGTATTGGTCCACCTGTTGTCCCAAATTTTAGCTCCATAAAGGTGGACAGGGCACCAGAAATAAGACCCAAGATGGTTAACCTACTGGTGTGACGTGGGGGTCATTCCAGCCAGTCAAAGCTAAGCATGTGCTGACTGCAGTTTGAACTGACATGTAACAAGCCCCCTTCACTGTAGTACTGGTCCCATGGGGTCACCATGAATGGCATCCTCCACCATCAGTTTTAAGTTGTGCAGGTGCTTATGAGCATGCCATATTGCAGCCAGCTGAACGGCATTTCACCTAAGTCTGATTCCATCTTGGGGCTGGTTGTAAATTAGAGAGGTCTCTGACAATCGGTGTAATTTCACAGTGCTTTAATTAAGACAACCGGTATAGCAACCTCCCAGGTGTATATAGTTCTGCTGTGTTATTGTGTTATGTGGGGTGGAGGTACTAATTTGAGGTTGAGTGCATCTTTTGTTAATTACTCCTACTGAGGTACATTATTAACCGCTTTGTGAATTGATTCCAATATTTAGGGTTTTTGTTGTTTTTCATTATTGTATTGTCGCAGAAAGTACTTTTTAAAGGTAACTACTTTTCGTGGGGGAAAAACAAATAAGCAAACACAAAAAAAACCCATAAAATAGTGCATACAATTGCGACTTAAGTCCTATTAAAAGTGAATGTTATTAAAAATTACCTTTTCCTTTTTTCAATCTACAGCATTGTAAAATGCAATATGGCTACCTGGAGGTGCTCTGTACACAGCGCCCCCTGAAAGTGTAATTTCCTGCTTATGTGTTTGGCTTACTGATTTTCCCAGAACTCTGCACTAAGATACAAGTCATATTTTGGGTATCCTCTGCAACAAAACCTCATTTTTGGTGAGATACTTTTTCTCCAAAAAAAGTTACTCTTTAAAATTCCTTTCTTGGGTCCATTTAGGAGTATGGGATTAAATGGACTACCATGGGTTATACAGTGCACCTCCAGGTGGAATGGACACAACCTCTTCACCTTTTTGCTTAATTACAATGTGGAAAGAGCCAATTCTGGCATCCCCTCCCTGGAAACAGAGGAACAGAAACCCTCCCTTGGTGAGGAGGCTATTCCCTGGAATCCAAGCATTTGTTGACTAAAATTTTGTCTGTCAGTTTTCCTTGCAGAGAATGTACACAACAGAGCAAACCTGAATAGGATACTCTGACAAGGTCAGGACAAACCTGAGCTCTTTCTGCCATGGGACGCTTTGTTCCTTCTTGTTGATTCACATGAACATTGTAGTGACATGATCTGATTGGACCAGACTACCTGCCGGAAGCATCATGCAGCAGGGAAGAGACCTGCAAATCACCCGTAACTCTAAGATAGCTCAACAGATTTCTGTGATGAACCGTAACCTAGGTGTTGATTGGGTGTCTAGGAGCCCTCCCCAGTCCTGCAGACCGGTATGGGTGGTCACTACTTTCAAATCAGATGGAGAAGGGACCTGCTTGAAGTTACTGCCTGGGAGAGAAATCAATGACAGACTACCTTGGTTCATAGACAGATTTGGATACATCATCTGACCAGGATATTATTGTTACACTGAGAGGATGTACCATTGTAGACCTCTTGTCTCAAAACGTAGTGAATGGCACTTCCTTAAAGGCCCTATATGACCATAAACCTTAATGTTAAATCGTAGAGAAGAATGTAGACTTACCCCGGTTAGAATGCCCAGGCCTATAAGACCTAAGGCTAGAACCGTACTAAAAAAAAAGCCTAGGGGTGTTAATAGTCACAGCAATAGACCACTAACCACCAACCTCTACTTGGGCAGGACTGCGAAAAAATCCTGGAGGCCATTAGGGAGGGCCTCACTACTACACTGTCTGACAGATGAGACAGTCGGAGGGTTCCAGGGAAGGGGAGCTGGGCTGCCAACACCCTTGCTGCTTAGAATTATGAGGGTGAACTGAGCACAATGCCAAAATAATGCACGATGCTAATGCTGACCAAGGTCCTGTAGGCAGCAAATCCACAGAGGGAAGGTGGTGCAAATCCAGTTTCACCTGAAGGTGGTGCTATATATAAACCATGGCAGTTTGTTGGATCCTGTGTCTCTCAATGGATAATGGAAAAATACCTTTTCAAAACACTCACAAAAGTACAATTTTCTGTGTGGGTATTATACAGGAAATACATTGTGACAGCAATTGGCTGCTTCTGTGAACTGTGTTTTGTTTAATTAGGGTTATAAAACAATGCTGTCTCGATTGCTAAACTCACACCAATGAATCCATGGTAACTCCACTTTTTGTACTATATGGGTGGTGTGTGCACCCTGTGCCATGTAAAAGGTTTCAACTAAGGTGTGAGTGTATGTCAATGTACCTGCCTTGTCTAATTCAAACCATTTTTAAAAAAATTTCTAGAGCAAGATATTTTTGATACAAGAATGGGAGACAAGAGTGCTCAAGAAGAAGGGGGTTCAGGTGAGGTTTACAAGTACATAATTCTATGCTAATAAGTGTGTGTGTGTGTGTGTGTGTGTGTGTGTGTGTGTGTGTGTTCCTTGCTATGGTTTTGCAAATTGGTTATTTTTTCATGTATTTTTAATTGCCATATTTATCAGATCTCTACATACAATATGGACTCTGGTGGTCCTTACGGTACATAAACACTTAAATGCTTGCCTGCTGGCGCTGCAAATGGCTGGCAACCCCATAAGAATCAGTGCTGCTGTAGCTACCTATAAACCACTGCAGTTAAACCTTGATGGACCCCATAAATGGTCCTCCTCACACCAGGCCCAGTGGTGTTTTTTTGTTGTCTGATGTTCAGTGCATAAAAGATTCTCAGTTCAGTGAAAGACATAATTCTAGTGCCAGAGCTCAGTTACCTTAAAATTAATGAGCTGTAAAGACTTTTAAAGTGTAGCCTTTGAAGATTTTTGGGTACCATTGTTTTTTCATGATAATTCAGGGACGTTCATTTTAGGGACATGTAGTTTTCTGGGTACTGGGCAGGTAGTTTTGTTCTTTGTTGTTTTTTTTGTTTTTTTTACCTTGCCCAGCAGGGGTTACCTGTCGGGTGGAAGCATTTGGGTGGTAGCACTGCCACCCAATTGCTTCCACATAGCCCACAGTGGTGCCAGCCTCCGTCCCTTCCCCCACCCGCTATGTCTCTTGGGCTCTGCCTGCCCATCTGTAGGCCTGGGACCGGTTCAGTGATTTTATAGGGGAGGGAGGAGAGTGGACACATCCACTCCCCCTTCCCCCCCCCCTTCTTGTCTTGGCCTAGAAGTGATGGGACGTCTCTTCTGGGTCCCTGTTGACAGATTTCCAGCCAGCGAGGCCGGGACAGAATGTAATGCAGTGCATTACATTTAGTGGAGCACAGGGGAGACAAAAAACTGTGGAGCACAGTCTCAAAAAATGAGAACCTGTCACCAAAAATCATCACATGGGGGACTTATTTTGATAAAAAATTTTTTTTTTTTTTTTTTTTTTTAATTTAAAAAAAAAAAAAAATATTAAAGTGACACCCAAGCATATAACCCCCCCACCCCACAAATGTACACACGTACAAATGTAAAAGCATTTGCTGGGGCACCTATGCATGAAAATGATTGAGATACACATTACATATCGCCGTGTACACCAGAATGAGATCTAGCACCAGATCTCCTCCGTAAAGCTAAACTGATTACCTCTAAGGGGCTTTAAAAGCTTCCCCCTATAAAAAATATAGGGTTACTAAAGTTTGTTGCCATTTCACAAGCACACGCAAATTTAAGGTTTGACATGTTGGATATCTATTTACTCTCTGCAACCTCGTCTTTTATATTTTACAAAAAAAATTGAATAATTTATTGCTTTTTGTGCTCTAAAATCAACTTAAGTGTATTTTTTTACCGAAATTTTGCGTTTCCTAGACCTTTGTGATAATATTGTGTGACATAAAAAATTGGAACTACTGCTATTTTATTCTTTAGGGTCTCTGATTTCATAAAATATATAGCATTGGGGGGTTTATGTAATATTCAGGCCTTAAATGTTTTTTTTAAACATGCAAAAAACACAAACCGCTCTGGCAGCAAAAGGCATAAAGGATAAGCTTGACACTCCCCTTTCCTGAGGAGCACCCAATCGTTGCTCATTACACTGCAAGGTCTCTCTCCTCCCTGCTAGTCCCCGGGTTTGGTGCTGGAGACAGGCAGGGAGGGGAGGAGGAGATAGAGCGGAATGTAAAAAAATATTAAATGTATTAATCATTTAAGTTGCCATAAAACCCCTTTTTTTGTTCTTACAAGCCCCAAACATTACTTAAAAAAATTAATTTTAACCAAAACCGTATTTAAATCTGCTTTATCAGGACAAATAGATTGTCATGGGGGCAAGTAGAATGGGACACCGATGTAGCCCCTGGACAAGGTTACAAATTTCTACACTCCTGATCATGGGTGCACGCAGTTTTAAGACTTGGAGTGTTTGGTATCAATTTACTTGATGCAACCAAAACATTAGGATTATGTGCACTTCATTCATTTTGATCTTTTCCTGAAAATATGCATTTGATAAACAGTTGCACGAATATCATGCAATATAAAAATTGCAACCACTATCTTTTTATTCTACAGGGCCTCTACTTTCAGAAAAATATGCTTTGGGGGTTTTAAGTAATTTTATAGCCAAAAATGCAGATTTTTACATGTGTGCAAAAAATTAAAAAATTGCTAGTTCTGAAATGGTTAAGGGAACTCTTCATCCAAAGACAAATTTACTTCCTGGGGAAAACCAGTCCACATCCATCCCAGCACCAGTGTCTGGTCCCAAGACTGCCATCTCAAAATTCAGTAATCCAAGTGCAACACCCTGCTATAAATGTTTGATGCAGGATGTTGAAGCC